GTGGGTTCTTTGTTGTCATAAGTGTAGATCGTTTGGACACCATGCAAAAGGGCCGCAAGAACCTGCAGGGCCCCCGGCATCCCTTGCATGTTCAGAGGACAGGCTAGGATGGTGAGGTCGGTGGCTCGGCTGTATGCCACATTTGCTCGTGTGAAACACTCCTGGTCATAGTCCAGGTTGTGCCCTTCTCCACTGAGGAAGGTTGACACCCCGTGAATAACGATGCAGTGTTTGGCCGTGGCACCTGCAACTTTGACTGCAGTTTCTGCATTAGCCTTTTTGCCTGCAACGGAGAAGTAATTACGTAGATTCGTAGCCCCTTCCCGGGTAGTTGTAAGGGCCAAGATGTCATCGGTGTCGGCTCCTGCTTTGGTAAGTTTGTCTTCGAGATGTTGATACACTCGCACAGTAGGGTTATTCCTTGGGTTATTCCTTGCATCCACATTGGGCGAAGCATGGCACCAGTGGACAAATCTCAGGCCTGAGGCAATCAAGTGATCCTCTCGGATTGAGGTGGTACCTATTTGCCAGGTGTCTCCCAGTCGGCTGCGCAACATGGGATACTGAATTCCGATTAACGGCTCATACACTTCTTGGGCAACCCTTGCGCTCGTTGGCAACATCAAACTCCAACGGTGCGGGCTTGCGACTCCCGATCTTTCGGCCGCATTTTGTGCCTGTCTGAAGTCTAGCGGGCTGTCCGGGCTGGTGGCTGCGTAACCTAGACCGACAAGAAGTCCTTCCGGGAGATCCAAATCCACGCTGGAGAGGTCCTTGTATGTGGATTGCAACTGACAGGCGAACGAAGACGTGGCCTTGACCTTGTCCGGGCGGAACCAGTTTCCCCCTAATGGCCTGTGGCCCACTGCAGTAGCCGCTTCTTCGAGATCAATATGGCCAAAGCCTCGACCGTAACTACTACTGTAATGGATATCCCCTCAGTCCAAAAATGGAAGATCGCCCGTATAACCAATATGGCCAGTGCCTCTACACAGAAGACGAATGGGACCAGCTCTGCGCATGGCTCACTGGAAACCCCACGTTTAGGAGGCAGCTCGCAGGCTACAAGCAGGCACTTAGGGACCAAATGGGCTACAGTCAGGAAGACTCTGATCCGCGTAATAAAGCTCGCCGTACCGTCCCTCCTCCAGGAGAGGGAAGCTCCTCGTCTGCAGCGGGGTCTTCCTGTCACATCAGGCCTCCCCCACCGCCCCCGCCTTATGGGTGGTGGCAGTAGGGCGGTCTCGAGTAGGAGTCTCCGCACACAGTTACCACCTCCTAGTAACTTGGACTCTTTCATGAGATGGGTGGCCTTAGCCACCCTACTTCTTGTTGTCTGAGTATTTTTTGTTTTCGAAATGACTGCATGTTCGCTACCTCAATTGTTTGGCCCAAGCAACTTGAGCAAGAACGTTCGGACTGCCGCCCACAGCGACAATGCCGCTTGACCAAGACCGATATGATGTCAGCATCGATTTGGTGACGATAGCAGGCACGGAATATGCTATGCAAACAAATCTCACTCAGTATGAGGACGTGGCACAGCTGGAAGATGACATTCTCTGCTTTCTGCCAACAGTCTCTGATTTGGATGTCTTTGGCTGTGAGCTGGACCTACTCGACCTTCACACTGGACACTCCATCTGGCAGTTCCAGGCTGACGGTAGAGAAAGCTACCCCAAGGCTATACGCGTCCCGGCCAACCCGCGCGGAGAAATTGCTGACAGAGCCTTCTATGCTGCACCCGTGCTCCGGCGCGTAGAAGTGGCAATGGGCATTCAACATGTAGGATTCGCGGCCTGGCAGAGTTGTCAGCAACTGCAAATTGTCAAGCTCCCACCCTCTGTCATAAGTCTTGAAGATGGGACCTTCCAGGGGTGCTACGTGCTGCGAGAAGTGGCCGCCCCGGGAGTGTCCAGTACAGCCGAAGAGTGTTTGCGGAGTGCTGCTCCCTTGGTCGAGTTGGTGTCAGTCAAGAAACTGATGACAGTCCTTGCACCAGGGGCACAGCTAGGCAGATATGCATTTGAGAGTTGTCTCACACTTACATCCATCACCTTTGCCAGGGACCACACCAACAAACCTCGAGCGCTGCCTGAAGGCGCATTCTGTGGAGCAGGCATTGAACAGCTCTGTCTGCCAGGTGACTTTCACAATATCGGGCCACGGGCCTGTGAAAACTGCAAAGGACTTGTGGAGGTCAACCTCACGTGCACAGAAATCACAGCCCTGCTCCACTCCACCTTTGCCCACTGCGTGGCTCTGAATTGTATATGGCTTAACGCAAATTGGCAAAGAAGTTTTCCTTAATTGTGTTGCGCTCCAAGAAGTGGTCATCCCGACAGAACTCTGTGACGTAGGCATCCGTGCTTTCTGTGGGTGTGAGCAACTGCAACGCTTTACGCCCCTAGATTGGGAGGAGATTGAACAGTCTGTGCAGGCAGAGCACAATGCTTTCTTTATGTGTGACAAATTTGAAAGACCACTGTGGGTGGAGCTGCTCCCCGCTGAAGGACCCGATTCGGATGCCTTTGACGAAGAGCTATATAATGAATTTTCCTAACATCGGGCCAGTCCATGCGGGGGTCATGGTGGGTGCCTTAGCATCTGTCTCTAACAACCTGCCCAGCTCTAGTAGCAGTCAATGAGCAGAGTGAGAAGCTTTTGGCTCAAATAGCATACGAAAGTAGCCTGCCAGACATGGAGCTTGCCGACTCATCCAGACTTAGTACTCCCCCTGACACGGAGCCGGTCATGGACTGCTCCTTAGTGCTGACAACGCTCTCGGGGGTTACTATCAAGGTCTCTCTCAGTGTGGCAAAATTTGATCGATTTGAGGACCTAGAGGACCAGGTTATGGACTATCTTGTCTCAGTAACTGACCTTAAAGTGTTTGGGTGCTCCATCGATTTTCTGCAAACTGCCACGCAGACATACCTAGAGGACCCAATCTGGGACAAGCTACAGCAAAGCATGGAATACACTATTGTCTTCAGGGATAGCAGTGTAATCCTGCCATCGCAGGAACAACTTGAAGGATGCCCTATCTATCATGTTCCGCTTGCTGTTCATGTCCCCATGAACCCAGAGGAAATCGTCCCGGAAGGGGCTTTCCCAAGTCTGGGAGACCGGGTGGAGGGCAGCCTGGGACGGGGCAGCGAACCCGGCCGCTGCAGTGGCGACTACGCCGAGCAGCAGGGTCCGGCTGGACAAGGTCGACCTCCATGGCAGCGACAAGTTCAGGCCGCTCGCCTCCAACAGGTGTGCCCGGTGAGGCACTGGGCCCCGGGTTGGCGGCTTCCCCAAGCCGTTGTCCACGGGAAGGCCAGCCTTGCCAGCGTGGGTGTCGAAGGAAAAGTTGTCTGGGTCGACGGTGCCAACGCACCCGGATGGGGCGGTGGGCCGCGGTGTGTGGTGGAGGTTGAAAGTTCAGGTGTGCAGTGAAGGCACACCGGCCAGCGCGGTTCAAGGGAGCAGGGATGAGGCCCCGTGTGTGGGTGTTGTCTGGCCTGAGATGCTGGGGGTACCCCCAGCTGCGCAAGAAGAGAATGCCCAACCGCCAGAGGAGGAAGCCCGGGGAGGGGGCCATGCGCTCTTCAGGGGGGGAGCCACGGCGCACCGGAGCCAGGCAGGGTCGGTACACCAGAGGTCGAACCGACGTGGGACCAACCCTGCCCGGCAACAGAGCACCACGGCCGACCCAGAAGGCCCGCGACGAGTTGTGGAAGACTTCTGGGACCCACGGATTCCGAGAACATCATGAACCACGCTTTTGGAGCCCCGAAACTCTGGAGCCAAGCCCTGATCGCAACCGTTTTTGCATTCTGAAACCGTCTCCTGAGCCGTCTCTCTTCATTGCGTTTGCCGTACTGTAGTTTGCATCGGTATCCAGTTGGCAGTTAGAGTGATCGACCACACCTCATGAAAAAAAAATTCCAAGATGCCGGAACAGTGTTTCTAAGGTCATTTCACCTCCAATTTTCCGCTACGTTTGTTCAATTTGTTTCAACGAAGCTGCAAGTTGCTTTGTTTTGTTTGTTCTTTTGTGGTGGGATCCGTCCCAAAACTAGGACTCGTGTCAATATCCGAAGACGTAACAAATGTGAAATGCGTTCAAGTGTGGTGTGGTTGTTTATGATCCAAAATAGATTTGTTTGCCTGTTTATGCACTGCCAAATTGCGTGATCGCAGCGTCATTTGCTAAATGGGAAGCGGTTGGCCTTCCCGATGACCAAGGCAAGACGATGCGTATTTCTGGTATTTGTAAAAGAAACAAATCAGGTGTTAACATTTCCAAGTGGTTCCAAGTTCCAAGGCAAAACAATTTGCAAAAAAGTACCTGGTAGTGTTGGTGTTGGTGTTGGGAACTTGCAGGAGCGGCTGCTCCTGCCTGACCCGAGGTGGCTTGCTCGAGAAATGTGAGTGGACAAGATGTGGACATGCTGTGCGGTTACAGATGTGGATATATATATATATAAACATCAAGTATATAGGCAAAGTGAGATTTCAACCTGCATGAACACAACAGGTGATGCTGCGAAGAAGCCTGGTTCTCAGACCTTGCTGTTTGATTCGTTTGATACCGTGTCTTTTGATAGAGACATCGCTTCGAACTTTGCGTTGACTTTTGCTTTCGTGATTTTCATGTTGGCTGCATGTCAGAGAGGTGGCTGGACCTTTGAGTCATGCAGCCATACGGGGGCCATGGAGGCACAGCTCATGTTTTTTGTTTGCCTTGAGTTCTTGGCTGAAGTTGTAGCATCCGCCGGCAAACAAGATTTAGAAGTAGAAAATTGTTTTTGAGATATGCCTGACATTGGTGGCATTCCAGTGTATATTTTGCTACGACTGGTGACCTGTGCGTCATTCCGCTGGGCAGACTGAAAAACTGCCTTTGTCCAGGCTCTCACATGGGCTACGGGCAGGGCCAGATGGGTCGCATGCCACAGCCCATGCAGTACCCGCCACAGGCGTTTCCAAGAGGGCATTTTTGTTAAGTTCAGAAGACACTTCTTGGGCATTTTGGCAGCCAAGAACCAGCTTCTTGTGCATGTGTGTGTGATTGACCTTTTTGGTTTCTTGTGCGTGGTTGAGCAAAGCTGCTAGTGCTCAAAAGACTTCACGAGCGCCAGAACGTGAGGCTTGTGCTACAAAGTCTATGTTGTTTTGCTGTATCCTTCTGCTACGAACCTATGGAACCTGGGGACAGAGGAGGATTCCCTGCAGGTGAGACATATTATGGCCCGACAAAGTGTGCTTCTGCGATTATGCTATGCAAGCTACTTGCTGCTGCCTGCGATCTTGCAGGTGCTTGTCAGCAGCCACACTTGCACCATCAAAGACCACAATGACAATGGGATCTTCCACAGTCGTGAACCTCTATGGTTAACATGTGGTAGGAAGGCTTGAGTTTCAAAGAGCGAAAATGATGAATTGCAGTGCACGCGACAGTAATGACTCAATGACCTTTCTCAGCTCTTGGGATTTGTGCGAAATGGTCAGGGCTGCAAAAGCTCTGATGATGGCAAAGGTGGCAAGGCAGGCTACAAAATGCTACAAAAATGTTGGAACACTTCTGGACCAAGGGACAGTTGGCTTAATACTGGGTGTGCGGAGTCCAAAGGTTCATGTCTTGAATGTGACCATCCCCTGCTACCTAGTACTGTTACTACTTGGGCAAGAAGACTGTGTTTACCGAGCAACTCATGTGTGCTTTCTTCTCATCAGCAACCCACCGATAGCGAGTCGGCTTGATCTACGCTGACGGGAACTTGGAAGTTTGAGAGGCTTCCTGTGGAAAGGAAGACCTGCTGTGCTTGTGCAAGGCGGATTGCGAATCAACATGCCCCTGGGTCCTTGTGAAATAAATCAGTGTGTTTCGAAAGTATCCACCTTCAATAAACACTATGGCAGCTATGGTCCTTTTGCTGCTGCTTCCAAGGTCACAATTTCAACATTACCAAGATGGCAGATGGCACAGAGTGTGCCAAGTGCATGACTTCAAAATGTGCAGAGGCCGGTTGATAGGCAAAGCAACCTACAACAATAGCTTTCGACCAGCCGCACCGATCGGTGGTGTCATCACAAAGGGCATGTACGGAGCACACATTGGAGGTCTTTGGGGCAGGCGGACCCTGTGCAACATTGCATTGGGCAAGCCAGGCCCTGATCGCTCATCAACTATTCGCATCAACCCCCGAAACTCATCCTTTTTCCCCAAACAGCTTTGCTGTGAGGAGTTCTGAAGATGACTTCTGGCCCTTTGTCTACTTTTGTCTCCCTTTGTCTCCCGTGGCTCTTCTGGATGCTGCTGGGATGATTTTTGTCTCCCTCACTCTTTTTGTCTTCCTTTGTCGTGTCTCCTTGTGTCCCATTGACTCTGCAAGCCCTGGGCTCAGAGGCCCCTGTGGGCCCCCCCCACTAGCAGGGGTACGCCCCGCATATGTGATTGCGTGTGCATGGTGTGTGCACGCTCCTAACGGCCTTGCTGCTTGGGGCTCTGCTGGAACTCGCCGCTCCCAAGGCCGACGCCGCTCTTACAAGATTAGCACCGTCCTGATCCTCGACTTCATCATCCTGAACAGCGGTACCACCTACAAGGGTAAAGTGCTTATGGGGACCACCAGCTCCCGTCGATATTCTCTAACCACTCTCAAAGCCTACCTTGTACAATGAGCCACCTCCAGTCGCTCTACAACTTAGTGTTGGAGCACTGGCGGCTTGGGCAGTGCTTTGTGGCAGGAGCTTATGACCTGGATGTCCACGCGTGGGTTTCAGATCATTTTTGTCAAGGGGGCGAAATGGAAGGAAACCAAACGTGTGGATACCCCATGCCATCCACTCAGCCACCACCTGAAGTGATTGCTGGTGCTGACCCATACCACTTTCTGTGCGAGCCGGGCTGTCTCCTTTGCACAATTCATTCCATGCCGTTTTTCCTTCGTGACTGACTTTGTCAATGTGTGCCAGCAGACGAATGACATTACGTCCATTCATTCTTAGCCGTTCGCGCCACGCCGCACCTGTGGTCCACAAAGACGCTTTTTCCTGGGATGCATGGAAGTTCGTGCTCTGTCGTACCCATGGCCGCACTGGCAGACAGATGGACCGGGTCCCCTTCCAGGGACCACAAGGCTCCTCGACCGATGGCGAGCACTGTGATCAGCGGCCCGTCAGCGCAGGCGCTCCATCGAAAAGCTCAACTCAAGACCTCGACCTGGTTTGTCAGCGAGGGATTTCAGGCTAGTTGCCTTTTTGTTCATGACATGGGAAGCACTGCCATCATGTTAAGCTCCGTAAGTCCAATAATCAAGCATGCACAGGCCCTTGAAAGGCAGCAGTCTTTTGCCATTATGTTCTGTGCTGAAGAGGCGGCCAGTTGTTGAACGTGCGCTGCGCTCCATCGTCCGCCAACTTTGCCCGAAACAACCCAAACCGCTGCTTCGTTTTCGTTCCTCCAATGGGTTGGCCCAAAGTGCTGAGGCTGAACTCAGCATCCTCCACAAGCATTTCTCAGCCGTCTTCCATGATCCGTCGGCATTGCTTTGTCATGCAACTCACAAGCTTGTACAAATCACAACTGCTGTGTACGGCCCAAGCGTTCGCAGCGTTTTGCTTTTGAGTGGAAAGGTGCCTGGCCTTGGTGGACAAGGTCTGTTGCCACATCAACCCTGTCCTTCAGCAACAGTACCCTTTGTTCGGGTTTCGTCCTCAGAGATCTACGTTTTCATGCTCTTGTCATCATCTTCGATCACTGTCGGTCAGTCCACCTCGGGTCATCCAACGCTCAACCGGCTGAGTGGCAGAAGCGGGGCTCGAGCGGGGCTCTCTCTGTTCGACAGAGTCCCCAACACCATTGTTTCTGATGATTTTGATGAAGTCTCCATTCCGAGCCTTTATGCCAGTCAACACCAAGCGTTTTCATGGGTCAGATCCGTGCTTTTTTGACCCAAGCTGGTAAGGACTTTGATTCATGCATTGTTTCAGTTTGAGATGAGGTTACAGCCTATCATATGGACCTTCACTTGAGTCGAAAATGTTTGGACCTCCCTCCTCGAACTTGTGTTGTTACAATTCGACTCATTGGAGTTGGAGGATTGTGCCATGGGCCCCATGGGTCATGATAGTCAATTTTTCAATAGCTGCAATTTCTTTTTTTACCTCGGTGCATAAGAGCGCGGCTGAGAGAGCTGAGAAGGAAGGCCTGGAAGGCCTTGCATTTTTTTTAAGCCAGGCACTGAGCTGGCATGTTGCTTGCAGCAGGCTAGCCATATCACGTTTTTAAGCATGAACCCGCAGTGAATGGAAAAAAAGGAGAGATGGGGCTCGGATGATTCTGCATTGCCTCTTTTTGTCTCCCATGGCTCTTCTGGATGCTGGGCTGAGATGATTCTGCTTTGTCTCCCTGTGTGCTCCTTTCTCTAAGGATCGCTGGCAAAAGAAACGTTGATCTGCCGCTGCTGTTTGGGGTCGATGCGGGCGGTATTTGTTTTGGACTCTGGTTGTGGTTTACGGTTACAAAAGAGCAAACAACAGCGCAAATATGCCTCGTGCGGCCTTTTAAATGAAATGCTATTGGGTGTCTAGGTCTGTGTGCTGTATTTCGGTCTTCAATGTGGCCCCATTGTGTGAGAAGTTCAATGGTTGGGTGACAGGAGGCCAAGGGACTTTGCCCACAGGACGGGGCTGTTCCTTGGAACAAATAAGCCAGCAAGTGGAACAGGGAAGTGAGCAGTCATGTTGCCGTATTGCCAAAGCCATGAGGTGGATATACTGTTTGCGTATCGCAAACTTGGTTCACGACTATATGTATGTAATGCATACAGTCTCCTGCTTGTTGAGGAACAACCAAGTTCCTATTTTGGTTTCTCTTTTTTCATTCTTTTGCCATGCAGTTGCTTGGTCATAGCTGTGACTGTCATTGCAGGTCAAATTGGGTAAGAATCCTCACGCATCCAATGACATTCTGGATGGTACTGGGTAGTTTTTCGTGTGACTCTTCCATTTTGGATTGTTGTGGCACTTCGGATTCCTTGGAATTAAATTGTGCAGTCGCAACAACATAGCAAGTGACAATGTGATGATTCCTTGCAGGTTAAAATATGGAAAGTAGAAACTTACCAGAATAGTAATAACATTTTCGGAGACTAGTCATTCCGATCAAGAGCTGTGAAAACATTGGTTGACAATCATGATTTCTTGACACCTGATGCACCAATGCAACAACGCAGGCAAATGGTTGCAAGTAGGTGTTGTCCTAAAACAGTTTAAAGTTTTTGCATGTCAAAACGTTTCGTTTTCCTTGTCAATGGGGTTGCTTTGAAGGGGGCTGACGGCATTGGCAGCATTGGCTGCATTGGCTTGGCTACGATGTGGTTCTGGTGTGTGTGGTCCGGGTCTTGTCCAGGTCTCCATGTTCCTTGAAGCGCTGACACAACTCCAGCGGATCTTGGAACAGAAACTAGTATGGGGTCTAAATGCCTGTGTATGGAAGCCAGTAATGCAGCAACATTTACTTTTCACCATTATTTGGACAGCCTGGAGTCCCCCCAAAGTGCAGAGTCACTCCTGCTATTTGCCGAATGACTCTGAATTTGAGGAATTCTATTCTCGGGTCCATTGGTTTCATTCTGCAACCGCCTTCAAGCTTTGCAGTGGTTTCATTGTTGCAGGACCGAGTCTCGCTTTGTCACAACTGTATCACGGATGGTGCTTGGTGCTGGGCCACAACATGGCCCACTTGTGTGAAGCAGTGCTTGGAATGGCAGCTCAGCTCAGCTGCTCAGTTTTCTTTATGTTCGCGATTCCAGTGTTTTCATGCAAGGTGGGATCCAATTGAATGCACACAATGCTGGCTGACGAATTACACGTCCACCTGTCTCGGAGACCTTGCGGCTTTTAGTGGCATTGTTTGTCAGCATTTCACTCCAGCCATACTTTGCTTCGTTCTTTTTTTCTCTTCGTTCCCCGTGGTTCGCAGCTTCATTACCTGGCCCTGAAGGAAAATATGACCATTGCTTCGAGTCTCAAAAGCCAAATCCTTTGCTGGAATGGTTGTTCAAAGAGAACAGTTTAAATCTGAGTTGAAGAGAGAGAGAGAGAGAGAAAGCGCGTTTCAAATACATTGCTGTCCAGGCCAACTGAGGGCATCATACTTGATGGCAACACCTCTGAAGATAGTACAGTCGTTGTTTGAGCAGCTCAGCATGGGTTCAGCGAATTGCTGCCCAGAACAGCCGCCAATTTGAAGCGTTTTAAGTCCCGAGAGGACAGAAACTGATGTTCAGTGACCTCCATCAGAATCTGGACACAGTTAAGTGGCGACAGATGCCAGGATTCTGCTTGCGAGTGTGCAACTCGGTCTCAAGGCGAAATGCAATTTTGCTTCAAGCTCTGCAAAGGCAAGGTTGCAAAGCCTGCAAAGCTTTGGGGATCGGTGCGTGGAAGATTGGCCCGCAGCAGTCGCCCGCAAAGCCTTCACTTGAGTCCAAAAAGAATTGCATGTTTGCAAAGATGTTTCAAGAGATTTCAAATTTCTTGACAGTATTTTCTTGACAAAAGCAAGTTCCGAAATGGAAAGTTGCGAGGCTCTCTGGAGGCCTGGTTTGCCGCCTCCACCCGCTGCGGGTTACATGCAGGCCCTGCAGAGCGGGGTCAGACCATTTCGCTCGTGTGACGGTCCAGCCGGCCTTCTGACCTAGAATTGAGAGCCTCGTTGCAATGAAAAGTCCCACAACTGCTTCTATTCCGCCATGGACGTTATATAATTATGTTGTTCTTGAAGACAAGTGGAGTCTTGCAGATCACGAAGACATGTGCTCTTTCGGTCAGGCAGCAGGCTACGCGCATCCGATGGTGTTTGGCCTAAATGTTTCGCTCTTTTAACGCTTCACTTAGCCGTATGGTATCGCCAGCAGTCTATTCCACTGCTTGGGCCCTTTGATCAGTCTTTTCAGTGGATGGCAGTCCGTGCCGAAACAATTATACATATATATATATACATTATAGATATGTCTTTTTATATATCAACATGCATCCTGATTCAAGAGAACAGGGCCAAGTCACAAAGGTGCAGTCTGGCCGTTACGTGCAAGGTCTTGGAGGATGTTTTTCCTGACTACTTTGTGATGCAATACTTTTGAGCGCTTTTGTGTAGGGCTGTTGAACACAGGACATGCCCCGGCTCCCAGACTGCCAGCGACATCGTCGACGGCGCCAGTTTCTGAGAAGAAACACATCTTAAAACACAAGAAGAAAGACACAAACAAGTGATGATCATTCGTCAGCCGTTTGATTCGTCTTTCTTGAGAACAGGCGGGGTCCTCCTGGACGACGCGAGATGGACTCACTACTTGAGGAACTTAAGGCCAAGCAGGTGCAACATAGTGACGTGTCAAGAATCCATTCTCACAGTAACCGATTGGATTAGATCCGCTTTCTGAGTCTTGGGCAATGATTCGCAGCGTTCTTTATCAGGAGCAGAGGAAGGAGGCTCTGACAGAGAAAAAGGCTTGGGCCTCTCAGATTTGCTTGCAGTTGTATGGGATTTGGAGCAGCTGCGAGCCGAGGAAGGGGAAGCATCGCCGCAAGGTGGGTCTAAACTTGCAAGACTTATCAGCATCCATCCTTCTCTCGGTCCAGCAAAAGACAAGTTGCATTTTCTTTTGTTCTTTCCAATCTTGATGCAGAACCTGAACCACCACCCTTTTTGAAGGTACAGGTACCTTAACCGGCAACCCGGCTTCAAAATCAGCAGATACAGAAGGGAACAGTGAATACAGCAAATACACCCTAAAGTTGTGAATGTGAATGCGCCTCCCAGCTCTGTGAATACAAAAATGAACAGTTTTGGCAAATACTTTGTGCTTGAATTGCTCTTTGGCACATCGCATTTGGCCTTTTTCTGAGCGTGTCATCTCCTCAAAATGATGTTTCTTGCTTCTATACTCTGGTTTCAGATTCGGCAACGATTCGTTTTGCCCAGCAAGCCGGCCGCAGCCAACCAGTACAGAAAGAGACTGGTGAACTGAGAGATGCTGAGAGAGCCAACAAACTGGGAGCAGTCGTTGGTGTTATTTGATATGCTTGACACGTTTGAAGCAACCAACAGTAGCATTTGCTGTGGTCTTTCTAGTTCATGCGAGTCTGAGGTTTAGCTCGATCTGGTGGTCTTCATCTTGTTTCCTCTCTTTCTTTTCTGTACTTGTTACTTGTCGTACCGAGCCTCATGTACTGCCGGACTATGCCAGAAGGGCATTGGGGTGCATCAGATCTTGTGTAAGAGTTGCGTGTGGTGTGTTGCAAGTCCAGTCGTCATGACGCCTTATTGTGCGACATGACCAGTAGTCGATCCATGTGCAGCAGCGAAAAGCTGCTGACTTCAAGTCATTTTAACAGCCTGGTATGTGGCGATCTGACCTGCCGACCTGGTAACATCGCTGAAGATCGGTTGGCAACAGCCAAGTGATGTGCCGCTGTCGTCCCCCTCTAGACTTTTAATATCTTTGAATCGTAATACGACACAGTCGAAAGTTCGACTCGAATAAAACTTACACTTCGTTTATAGACATATATATATATATAAAGAGGTTGAAAGAGTTGGACGTTTCCCCGTACTGAAAGAAGCAAGAGGATTTGAAGAATAGTATCATACGCACGAGCACTTCAGTAGCGGAAGCGGTGCGTTACCACAACACTTGACCATGAAACCACAGATGCTAGGAAAATATGACGAACGAACACATAGCTGACAGTAGCTGCCCCCTGAACATACACAGACAAACATACAAGGGCCCTTTGCAGGGTTATTGAACCTGAAGGATTGCCCCATATTTTGAAACTGTCAGGTCCTCACCTTTTTCAAAGTTTGAAAAAAGGTGAGGACCTGACAGTTTTTTAAGCATGCAAATTTAGATATTTTCTTGGACGTGGCATAGCACTAGTCACTAGGCAGTTTGGTAACGGTAACGGAACATGTGACTCCGCCCTGGTCCCGTTGTTGTTGCTGTTGTTGCTGCTGTTGTTGTTGTTGTTGCTGCTGCTGCTGGTGTTGTTGCTGTTGTTGTTGCTGCTGCTGCTGCTGGTGTTGTTGTTGTTGTTGTTGTTGTTGTTGCTGGTGTTGGTGTTGGTGTTGGTGTTGGTGTTGGTGTTGGTGTTGCTGCTGCTGCTGCTGCTGGTGGTGGTGGTGGTGGTGGTGGTGGTGTTAGTGTTGCTGGTGGTGGTGGTGGTGGTGGTGGTGGTGTTGTTGTTGTTGGTATGGGTCCCACGAGGGCGTCGTGAGAGGTGTGCTATTTTTTGGTCGTGCTTTGTGAAAACACGGGGCGCATGGCGGGGGGGGCAATGACGTCGGTTTTCTTTCGTTCGTTCACTTGAAGATAACTTCGTACTTTGTTTACTTCAAGACATCTTCGTAACTTCGTTTGCTTTACAGCGGCGGTGCTCCTGCGTGGCCTACAGAGGCAAAGGAAGCTCACAATAAACTAAAGACAGTGCAGTTGAAACATGTGAAGCAACAGTTCACAAAGAAACTCAAAAAGAAGCCTACGCCCACGTCGTCGAAGATAGGTGGAACACAACTGGCTGACAGCTCATGGAAGAGCTTGAAAGCTTAGATACCCAAGCATGTGAATACAACCTTTGCAAAGAGTCGAGCTGTGAATCCGGAACTCTTGAACTATGTTCGGAGTTGGCAGTTTCCGTGCCGCAACAGAGGCAATGATCTCTTACCTGCCATCGCAAAAGCGATGAGAAGCGGGTCGAAGAGGAAAATGCAGCGTCGCAAACGCCTAAGTATCAAAACTTTTCTGAAAACGCTGTTTCGCCTGCAAGTTGAATACATTTGGCAAACAACTTTTGCTAGAAAGCGAACAAAACGCAAAACGATGACCCTCATGAGACTTTGCGCACACGAGCCATGCAAATTAGCGCGACGCCTTCCCGACGTCCATCCCTTGTTCTTGTTGTTGTTGTTGTTGTTCCCCAGATAGCGAAGCTATGGGGTTCTTATATACTTCAAATAACAATGAGTTGCCCATGCGCGCTTTCGAGACAGGTTGCTGGTGCTGGTGCTGGGTGCCGGTGCCGGCGCTGGTGCTGTGAGCTGGCTGTGCACGTGGTGGAGACAGGTTGCTGGCGCCGCTCCTGCTGCTGGGTGCCGGTGCCGGTGCTGGTGCTGTGAGCTGGCTGTGCACATGGTGGAGACAAGTTGCTGGTGCTGGTGCTGTGAGCTGGCTGCGCACGTGGTGGAGACAGGTTGCTGGTGCCGCGTGCCGGGTGCTGTGAGCTGGCTGTGCACGTGGTGGAGACAGGTTGCTGGTGCCGGTGCTGGTGCTGGGTGCCGGTGCGGTGCTGGTGCTGTGAGCTGGCTGTGCACGTGGCGGAGGCAGGTTGCTGGTGATGGTGCTGGTGCTGGGTGCCGGGTGCCGGGTGCCCGTGCTGGTGCCGTGAGCTGGCTGTGCACGTGGTGGAGACAGGTTGCCGGTGCTGGTGCTGGTGCCGGGCGCCGGTTCCGGTGCTGGGTGCCGGGCGGGCGGTGGTGATGGGTGCCGGGCGCCGGTGCTGGTGCTGTCTGTGAGCTGGCTGTGCACGTGCATGGTGGAGACAGGTTGCTGGTTCTGGTGGCGGGTGCCGGGTGCCGGGCGCCGGTGCTGGCGCTGGTGCTGTGAGCTGGCTGTGCGCGTGGTGGAGACAGGGTGCTGGTTCTGGTGCCGGGCGCCAGTTCCGGTGCTGGGTGCCGGGCGGGCGGTGGTGATGGGTGCCGGGCGCCGGTGCTGGTGCTGTGAGCTGGCTGTGCACGTGGTGGAGACAGGTTGCTGGTGCTGGGTTCATGGTGCCGGTGCTGGTGCTGTGAGCTGGCTGTGCACGTGGTGGAGACAGGTTGCTGGTGCTGGTGCCGGGTGCCGGTGCTGGTGCTGGGCGCCGGGCGCCGGTGCTGGTGCTGGTGCTGTGAGCTGGCTGTGCACGTGTATTTACACGGGCTGGGTGTTTTTTATGCTAATGGTTTTTTTTCTTATGCTCACAGCGGGGTTGGTGTGCTTTTGGGGTATGGGTTTCTTTTTTAATGCTTCTAGTGCTTTTTTTTTATATGCTAATGGTTTTCCTGTTATGCTTGCAGTTCTTTCTTTTATGCTCCTGGTTTCTTTTTTTATGCTAATGGTTCCTTTTTTTATGCTAAAGGTTCTTTTTTTTATGCGGCACTGTGGGAAGAGGTCACGTTGGGGGGTCCTAGTGCAGAATGTAATTGTCAGGAGGGTTTAGTGCAGAATGTAATTGTCGGGAGGCTTTAGCACAGAATGTAATTGTCGGGAGGTTTTAGTACAGAAAGTAATTTTCGAGAGGTTTTAGTACAGCAAGTAATTGTCGGGAGGTTTGAGTACAGAAAGTAATTGTCGGGAGGTTTTAGTACAGAAAGTAATTGTCGGGAGGTTTTAGTACAAAACGTAGTTGTCGGGGGGCTGTAGTACCGAATGTAATCGTCGGGGAGTTTTAGTA